TCAAGCGATCCTCCTGCTTCAGCCTCCCGAGTAGCTGGGACTACAGACATGCGCCACTATGCCCGGCTAATTTTTTGTATATATATTTTTAGTTGGTCAATTAATTTCTTTGTATTTTTAGCAGAGACGGGGGTCTCGCTCTTGCTCAGGCTGGTTTCGAACTCCTGACCTTGAGCAATCCACCCGCCTCGGCCTCCCAGAGTGCTAGGATTATAGGCATGAGCCACCGTGCCCGGCCTCCAAGATTCTTTCTGAAATAGATTTGTTCTGTCTGAGAAACCAACGAACTAATTTACAAAGAGGGGATATTTTGCATACTCCTAGTAAAGCAATAACCAGTAATAATGATTACCGCGTTAAATATTTAATAGCTCTCTGGTGTGTGCCGTGGTGCTCTGCCCGAAAGGCATTTCTACGTGTTATCTTTTTTCATCTCCACGGTTCCCCTTTGAGGTGTGCTGTTATTATCCCCATTTTACAGATGAGGAAACTGAGGCTTTGGGCAGGAAACTGCCCAAGAAAGGGTAACTAGAACAGGTGTCCGGAAACTACGGCCACATGAGGGATGCCTAGCACATTTATCCGGCCCCCTGGGTGTTTTTGCCACCGCTGCCTGTCCTGCTTAGCAGCCGCTGCCTGTCCTGCTTAGCAGCCGACTCGTCCCGGGCCCACAGTGCGCACTCTCCAACGGCCTGAGGGACAGTGACCTGGCCCCCCCTGTTTACAAAGTTTGAGGACCCCTGAGCTAGAACATTAGGGCAGCAGTGGGAACCAGGGCTTGTTCTGGCTCCAGAATCCGAGTGGAAAACCACTAAGGAGTCCTGCCCCGCCTTCTTTCTCTCTTTCAAGCTTGGGTGGAGCAGAGAGGGGACTTGCCTTCAGTCCTGTGCTACGTGAGGTCACAAGGTGGCTCAGCGGCTTAAGGAAATTCAGTTAAATTTTGATAAACCTTATGAAAATGCGGAGCAATAATTAACTTCCCAATTGTTAATGCGGCATTCGGATCTCCACGGCCCAACTCCCGTTGGTGGGAAACACTTCAATGAGTAACCACTGAATAACGAGGAAGGCCTGGCTGCTGTTTCCCAAATGAACCCCAGTTATTTAGCAATGTTACGTGCATTTTGTTGTATTGCAGTGTGCAATGAGGCTCGTTTAAAATATTTTTTCACCAGCAGATCAGCAGGTATCAAAGTTTGGAGCTGTGTCGATAAATATGATTCTAACTCATTAGCAGAAGAGGTCAAGATGAATAAAACCACTAAGCATGATGTATTAGAAGATACTGCTTTCCATCTCCAAGAAATAATTTAGTTCTTGCATTTTCATGCCACCTAAAGTATCCTGAATTTTTTCTGTGCCACACAGATTACTTGAGAGTGGAATGTTTTCCCAAAAATGTTAGAATTTACATGAGTTGCTGACTGTTGGGAAGTCTATTTTGCGAGTGGTGCCTTAATTTTCTTCAAGTTTATTTAAATAAGCGTACCTTGTTTCCAACTATTGCTTTGGTTCATGCTGAGGTTCTCCCTATACCAGGTCCCCTCTGATGATTTGTGAGAGCACAGTTTCTTCCCTTCTAGTGGTCAAAAAAAAAAAAAAATGCATTCGACACAGTATTTTGTGTTTTTCTCACTGCAGGTATACTTTTGTGACAGTGTAGACAGATTTTACTATAGTAGTCCCCACTTATCCGTGGGGGATACGTATTATGTCAAGACCCCCCAGTGGATGCCTGAAACCACAAATATTACCAAACCCGATTGCCGACACTTGGAACACGTTTTCTGTTCATGCCTTCCACCCACGAACTTCATGCCTTTTCCCTCTTAACGAAGCACTTAGCATGCACTGTGGCCACGACGTTGGCAGTTTGAGGTGCAACAGCAAAACCAACATAAGTCTCTTTTTTTCTTTCTTCGAAATCATGAATAGAAGATTCATTCTTGCTGTAGATCATAGCACCCTCAGCCTGTGATTCTTTTTTTTTTTTTTTTTTTTCTTATTCAATCGAGAACTTTCACCTTTTCCCTTTAAAAGAGGCTCTTTGCGGCTGCCCGTTGGCACGTCCAAATGGCCAGCATCGCTCCTCTTGCACTTCGGGGCCATCGCTGATAAAATAAGGGTGACTTGAACCCAGCACTGGGGCAGTCCATCTGATGAGTGGAGTCGCTGGGGTTCTGCAGGTCGGGGAATGTCCCAGGGAAGAAGGGCTGGACACAGAGAGGTTTCACGTCCCAGGCGGGACGGGGTGGGAGGGTGTGAGATTCCATCGCTACTCAGGACAGTGTGGAATGTAAAGCTTATGAATGAGTTCTTTCTAGAATTTTCCATTTAATATTTTCAGTGACCGAGGGTCACTGAAACTGAGGAAAGTGAAACCTCAGATGAAGAGGGACTACTGTATTATTTTTTATTTTTCTGAGACAGAGTCTTACTCTGTTGCCCGGGCTAGAGTGAGTGCCGTGGTGGGGTCAGCCTCACTCGCAGCAACCTCAATCTCTTGGGCTCAAGCGATCCTCCTGCCCCAGCCTCCCGAGTAGCTGGGACTACAGGCATGCGCCACCATGCTCGGCTCATTTTTTCTCTATATATTTTCAGTTGGCCTATTAATTTCTTTCTATTTTTAGTAGAGACAGAGTCTCACTCTTGCTCAGGCTGGTTTTGAACTTCCGACCTTGAGCAATCCACCAGCCTCAGCCTCCCAGAGAGCTAGGATGACAGGCGTGAGCCACCGCGCCCGGCCGGGACTACTGTATTTTAATAATCGCTAAAATAGTCAACTTGGGTAGAATGCACATCCTGGCCTAAATTGATTGTTTTAACAGTTCTTCATAATGATCAAATATCTGGGCCTTTCAAATATGCAGTCAATTATGGCTGAACTTTTTGTATCTTTATTTTTTGGTGTTGGTGTAACAAATTCTGTTCCCTGTGTCTTAGGTGGGCGCACTTCTTAGTTGCATAATTCTGTTGCCTCATTTCAGACCACAAGCTAGTGCAGGGGTCCTCAAACTACGGTCCCCGGGCCACATTGCTGCCCGCCTAGCACATTTATCCGGCCCGTCCAGTGTTTTTGCCGCCGCTGCCTGTCCTGCTTAGCAGCCGGCTCGTCCCGGGCCCGGAGTGCGCATGCGTGGAATGTGAACTGGGTCCCCCTGTTTAAAAAGTTTGAGGACCCCTGAGCTAGTGACATGAAAGCAACAGAGCCCATTTGTGATCCGATAGTCAAGATAACTGATTAAATCCTGTTTTTACTCAAAGCATATTTTGGCGGGCACTTTCCTGCCTGTTCTGTTTATTGTGTGGTTGATGATGTGCAAATGGAGTGTTTGCACCAGCAATACAGGCGTGCAGCCAAGTTGGAGACTCAGAATTTCAGGGTGGCTGTGACTCGCCTGGGAGGTTGGTGGGTGCAGATTCAGGTCTGATGAGGCCAAAGAGACGGAATTTTCTAAGTTTCCAGGTGTTGCCAGTGAGAACAGCAAGCTTGCCTAGAACCCAAGAGACGCAGGCAAGAGTTGGAAATGAGCAGAGCTAATCTGATAGCGTGCATGATGGCCCCAGCTTCTTGCCCATACTCTCTTAAGTTGAATCTACCTCCTCAACTGAGCCTCAAATCAAATCAATCAAAAGAATCAGAGGCATTGAATAGCAGTCGTCGTATTCTCATATATCAAGTATTGCAATGATCTAATAAGGTAATAGGACACTTTTGCGTTTTTCTACGGTTTCTTCGTATCATCCATTAGTCTGTCCACCTCTCAGGCCTCTTCGTACTGTATCTCATTGAATATCAAACGTGGTGCTCATGAAACATTTCCGCTCTTTCTGGGGCTCTGTAGCTGCAGTTATTGTCGCTTATTGTGTCTGTAGCAAAGAACAAGGAGGGCACGACCTCTTGAATCCTTGCATGAGTTTTGTCACCAAATGAAACGAATCACGTGCAATTGTTGCCCTTAAATTTAAGACTAATTTTCTTTTTTCTTTTTTTTTTGGAGTCAGAGTCTTACTCTATTGCCCAGGCTAGAGTGAGTGCCGTGGCGTCAGCCTCGCTCACAGCAACCTCCAACTCCTGGGTTCAAGCGATCCTCCTGCCTCAGCCTCCCGAATAGCTGGGACTACAGGCATGCAGCACCATGCCTGGCTAATTTTTTTCCATATATTTTTAGTTGGCCAATTAATTTCTTTCTATTTTTTTTTTTTTTTTTAGTAGAGACAGGGTCTCACTCTTGCTCAGGCTGATCTCCAACTCCCGACCTCGAGCGATCCTCCCGCCTCGGCCTCCCAGAGAGCTAGGATGACAGACGTGAGCCACTGCGCGCGGCCTTAGGCCTAAATTTCTAATACCTTAAGTGAGCGTGTATGGAACCTTCCAGAGAGGCTAACCTCAAATCCTTAGTCGTTGGGGCGAGAGCACAGGTTGAGTCGCACCTGTAGAGATCTCAGCACGGAGGACTTGATTTTGTGTGTAATTTGACTCCAGAAACATCATTTTGAGATACGTCGAGCTAAATTTTTAATATGAAGTAGTTGTGGCTTGAAAATCAATGCATTTAAGACCCATCAAAGGCCGGGCGCGGTGGCTCACGCCTGTCACCCTAGCACTCTGGGAGGCCGAGGCGGGCGGATTGCTCGAGGTCAGGAGTTCAAGACCAGCCTGAGCAAGAGCGAGACCTCGTCTCTACTATAAATAGAAAGAAATTAATTGGCCAACTAAAAATATATAGAAAAAATTAGCCGGGCATGGTGGCGCATGCCTGTAGTCCCAGCTACTCGGGAGGCTGAGGCAGGAGGATCGCTTGAGCCCAGGAGTTTGAGGTTGCTGTGAGCGAGGCTGACGCCATGGCACTCACTCTAGCCTGGGCAACAAAGCGAGACTCTTGTCTCAAAAAAAAAAAAAAAACAAAAAAACAACAACAAAAAACGCATCAAGTTAGAATCTTAATATAAAATAGTTGTGGCTTGAGAATCAAGGCGTACCGTCTGATCTGTTACAGAGCACAAAAGTAGCCGCCATAAAGACAAGAGGAAACCCGGAGCAATAAAATGGGGCGGAAGGAGTAACCTGGCGGAGGACGTGGCCGAATTGAGCCTGGGATTGGCGACAAAAGGGCTCTCTGCCTATGGGAACAAGACCGAGAGCGCAGGGGGCCCTAGGACTCACAGCAGGACAAAACGTTTTTTATCCTACCCACGGTTTGTAGAAGTGATGGTGGTGGCCGACAACAAGATGGTTTTGTACCACGGAGCCAACCTTCAACACTATATCTTAACCCTGATGTCAATTGTAAGTACATTCCGGAGAAGGTGACTCATGGGGTCGCCCGGCGTTCCACTGGGGGAGCGGGATCCCCCCCCAGTGGCTTGGCTGCGGCTCATTTGGGGCTGGTGTATGTCAACCCTCCAGGCGAGTGGCAGAAGAGAACCTAAGATCGATTATTCATGGGCTGCCTTTTTCATGGTAACAGTAGCGGTCATCGGTATTGTTTATTCTGTGTTAGATTATGTGCTTCTTACTTAAAAGGCGTGAGTTCTAATCCTCCTGGCAACCCTGCTGGTTGGGATTTGTCATCCTGATTTTTTGGATGAGAAAACTGAGTCTCAGAGGAGTTGGGTCACTTGCCCATGGCTAGGGAAAGCTAGGAAGTGACTCAGAACACTGCATGTGTTCTCTAAGCTGGTCTGGTTCCCCCAAACCAATGCTTTTCCCCCAAACCCCCTCGCTTCTGAGCTTCCAACAGCCCGGTGAGAGAATCGCTGTCACCCCTGGAACTTTTTAATTCATGTAGCTGTGAGCCTCCAGGCTTCTAATTAAGTAGCCCTGGGGTGAGTGAGCTTGAGGAATCTATCATTCTATTTTCCTAGTGTCATTTTTTGAATCGAAAATATACAGTACATTTGCATGATTAAAAAAAGAATCAAACAGAACCAAAGACAATTGATTAAAAAATGAATATCCCTCTCTGTGCCAATTCCCAGAGGCAACCATTGTTAACCGTTTTTGTGGGCCAGCCGTGGTGGCCCACGCCTGTCATCCTAGCACTCTGGGAGGCCGAGGCGGGAGGATGGCTTGAGTCCAGGAGTTTGAGGTTGCTGTGAGCGAGGCTGACGCCACGGCACTCACTCTAGCCTGGGCAACAGAGTGAGACTCTGTCTCAAAAAAAAAAAGTTTTTGTGTATTTCTAACAATCACTGCCCAATAGAAATGTAATGCAAGTCACGTATTTAATTTTAAATTTTCTAGTAGCCACATTTGAAGGTAAAATTAGTTTTAATAATATATTTTATGTCATATGCAAAAATCATCCCCAAAATTAATGAGATATTTTACTTTTTTTGTACTAAGTTTTCAAAATCCAGTCTGTGTTTTAGACACACGGCGCATCTCGGTTTGGGCTGGCCACCCGTCCACGTGCTTGGTAACCACGCGTGGAGAGAGTGACTACTGTATGCAGCAGTGTAACTTTAGACCCTGCTTGAGCAAATAAGTATGACTCTGCAAACAGAAAAGGAGCATTTTCGTGCTCTGTTTTCCACACTGCTGTTTTCTTGAAATGCTCAAGATTGTTCCATTAGCAGCCCATAATAGACCCACTGTTAACTCATTTTAAGCCTTAGCATAATATTCCTTTTTATGGATTAACCTTAATTTATCCGAACTGGAACCTACTTTTAATAAATTCCCCAGACGGGAAAAGCATTCCTGTTTGGGAGTATTGCTTTAGGGTTTCTTCTTCCATCCGTGTGCCCTATGTTGGTCTTTATCTTCCCCCCTCTGCTGTGAACAATTCCCTTAACTCTCTCCCCAGCCCCGCCTCCCCCCTCCTCCTCTCTCACCCCCTGCCCTGTCCCCTGCTTAGCCCCTTATGGCCAGGAAGCAAAGGAAAACCTAACCACGTCTCGCCTGTGCACACTTGCATTTCCACCCCATAATTTCAGATCTGTCATGAGACTTTTGATTACGAACAAAGACTTTTGGGTCAGACTCACCTAGATCGAGAGTTCTGGCTCTTGTCACTCACGGCTGTGTGGCCTTGGACAAGTTGCTTAACTTCTCTGAGCCTTAGTCTCCTCGTTTATTGAACAGAGCTTGTAATGATACCTAGCCTGAAGTTTTGCTGTGGTCACTAAAAATAAATGCATACGCGGTTTTCAGCAAGCATCTAGTCCATAATAAGCATGCAATGAATGTTAGCTCATAATTAGTTATAGTAATGCCAAAAAAAAAAAAATAAGGTTAGCAGATTGTCAAGGACACAAATGAGTGAAAAACATAAAGAACAGTAGTAATTAGCAAACGTGGTCATTGTGAGATTTTTGTGAGTTGGCAATCCTGGATTTCACATGGGAGGAAAAAGCTTGTTGGAAAATTAATGTCCGGTGTTCTTGGTGCAATGAAAAATGTTAAGCCTCGTGGCAGCGAGATTTTTACAGGAAAACACCTTGGAATGTAAACGTGTTTGAATTCATTATTTTCTAAAATGGCCATGTGTGGATTTTACAAAGAGACTTGAAATAGATGACGGTTGAGTGAATGAAAATTGAGAACCACAAAATGCGTATGTTGCATGAAACGTAAACAGACATGGAGCCCAACGTAAGACGTGAATTGCTTATTGCTTACACGGAGTTCACAATTAACTTTGAAAAATTTATCTCGGTTACAGGTAGCCTCTATCTATAAAGACCCAAGTATTGGAAATTTAATTAATATTGTTATTGTGAACTTAGTTGTGATTCATAATGAACAGGTAATAAAGTTTTTTTTTCTTTTTTTCTTCTATCTGTATCCGAAATGGCATATCTAATTGGTGTTGGTTCAAGAGACCAACCATAACTCTTCTCTGTATTTAGGACGGACCTTCTATATCTTTTAATGCCCAGACCACATTAAAAAACTTCTGCCTGTGGCAGCATTCCAAGAACTACCCAGGTGGAATCCACCATGACACAGCTGTACTTGTAACCAGGTATGTGGATTTCTTATTCCTCAAATCTTTCAGTTTCAGGTCAAGTGCATGGGCTAGGGTAGCCAGCCCCTGGTATATAGAGAGGGCTTCTCAACTTAGGCACCGTTGACACTTTGGACCAGATAGTTCTTTGCTTTGGGGGTACCCAGTGCATTGCAGGGTGTTCAGCCCCATCCTGGCCTCTGCCCCCCACATATAAATCAGTAACACCCCTCTTTGCATTTGTGACAACCTGCAGTAGTCTCCAGACATTGCCTAGCGCCCCCTAGAGGGTGGCGCAGACTCACCCCTGGTTTGAGAACCGCTCACCTGTAGGTGCCAGGTGAGGAATAAATGTGCCAAGCAGTCCTGAGAGTACATGCCTGGTATAACACACCTGCTATTGCCATGCACTACAAGTCTAGTGTCGCCAACTTTTGTGATTTTTGCAAGAAGCCTGAAAGGTGGATTTTTTTTTTTTTTTTTTAGTGTGAGATTTCCCAATTTTTCAATGGCAGCTGCTATCTCAAAAATGTTTAAAGCATTTATAAGGCGCAACAAAGGGGGGTGCTGGCCTAACTGTGCCACCTCTGATATTGTCATGAACACTTAACACTTAGATGAACTGAAATGCATGGCATTTAGCGCCTTCTCAGGAATGTTCTGGAAGAGTCTTTTTTTTTTTTATTCTGGGACAGGGTCTCACTTTGTTGCCCAGGCTAGAGTGAGTGCCATGGCATCAGCCTCGCTCACAGCAACCTCCAACTCCTGGGCTCAAGCGATCCTCCTGCCTCAGCCTCCCAAGTAGCTGGGACTACAGGCATGCGCCACCACGCCCGGCTAATTTTTTTCTATATATATTAGTTGGCCAATTATTTTCTTTCTATTTTTAGTAGAGACGGGGTCTCGCTCTTGCTCAGGCTGATCTCGAACTCCTGACCTTGAGCGATCCTCCCTCCTCGGCCTCCCAGAGTGCTAGGATGACAGGCGTGAGCCACCGCGCCTGGCCGAAGAGTCTTTATGAAAGTAGAAGCACTTCCTCCGGGGTATTTGGGAAAAGCCCTGGTTGGAGGGTTTCCTGACTGCTCTTTGGCTATCCAGGCTGCAGAAAGAGACTTCTTAATGGAGCTTTTAATCCTTAAAGCAGCTAGTCCCAAAGTTTTTTGAGTGGTGAAAGGCTGGCCTTGTTAAACTATTTTTTGTAACTCCCCTCCCAAAAGTGTGTGCTTTTGTGAATGCCTGGAAGAGTCTAAAGCAAGGGTCCTCAAACTGCGGCCCGAGGGCCACATGTGGGCCACCTAGCACATTTATCCGGCCCTCTGGGTGTTTGTGCCGCCGCTGCCTGTCCTGCTTAGCAGCCGACGCGTCCCGGGCCCGCAGTGCGCACTCTCCAATGGTCTGAGGGACGGTGACCTGGCCCCCTGTTTACAAAGTTTGAGGACCCCTGCCCTAACGTGTGTGCCTGTGTTGACATTTACTCTCTGCTGTTGTCAAGGCCTAAGTCTGCTTTGTTTGCAGGCAGGATATCTGCAGAGCCCATGACAAATGCGACACTTTAGGTGAGTCCTCTGTTGTGTCCTGCAAGGCAAAAACAGTTCATTGCATGTTTTTTTTTTTGTTTTTTTTTTTTATTTCAAGCCATGCTTGCTTTTTAAGGTTAAAAAAAAAAAAGAAAACCCTTGTCGTTTTGCTTTCCCTGCCGCCAGGTCTGGCTGAGCTGGGAACCATCTGCGATCCGTATAGAAGCTGTTCCATCACCGAAGACAGTGGGTTGAGTACAGCCTTCACGATCGCCCACGAGCTGGGCCACGTGTGAGTCGCCTTGCTGTGCTTTCCTTTCATTCCCAGTGACCTAACCCTTTCGTTCCTTGAATGCATCCCTGGGCATTTCTTTGACTTCAGGGAGCGAAAGACCCTTCCCCAGGCATGGTAGAGTTTGCAGGGCTGAAGAGCTTTGAACCCAACTGGGGGAAGTGACTAGATTCAGAAAGTTGAGTAAATGCAGTGCAACCTCTTCGGCCGTAGCTTGTGCGCGTGCCCAAGTTCAATAAGCAAGATCTAATATTCATTCCTTTTCTACTGGGAGTGGGAGGAATTGGGGGCTTTCCATTCCTTCCACTGAAGCAGAGAGTATGTTAGCATGGAGAACTTTCCAGACTTTGTCTAGGGGGCTCACCCAATATTGCCCCTGGTTCACGAGATCTGCACAAATCCAGATCATTCCTGACTCTGGTTACTCGAAGCTCTGATTCAGACATTTCGGCGCCCGGGAACAGTGATATCCCCCTTTCAGGAAAGAGAAGGAACAAAAATGCAGAGAAGGAATCACTTCCTAAGTGTGGTCACTAAGTGGCCGTTATGAAATGGCTTTTCCCTCTTTGCTTTTTAGAGGCAGAGCCTGGTTAGAACGTGGGATGAAACTGCAAACTTACTAGAAGTTATTCTGATATTTTTATCTGCATTGCTTGCTTTCTGGAATGATTAAGTACTTACACCGTATGTTTTGAAATAATTTTCTAAAAAGCTATGATTGATATAATACAGCTGTGTATCCATTGTGTGGCAGATATTAACTTTATCAGCAGCCGATGTCATCTATTAGGCAAGCTTTTCCATTCGATCATTTTTTTGAAGGTCACATATGTGCAATATGCTATGCTGGGCATAGAGCAAGGTGCACATATTCAGGTATCTCTAGTTCAGTTCCACGGATAATGGGTATATTTTTAAACTGGTGCCTTTCAAACATATTTAAAGAGCACATTCCTTTTCTTTTCTCCAAAGGAAATAGTGGCAGATGCCCAACACTTGGAACCTAAAAGAGGTCTGGCTTTCCAATAAGCAGCTGCAACAGGCCAGACCTGTGTAGTCAGTATACTATATGCCCTTTTGGTTTCTGAAGCACCTTTGTGAAACTCAAAAGACTCCCTGGAGAGAGTTCCAGTTATAGCTGCCCTACCTCAGTAGCTGTGAGACCTTGATCAAATAATTAAATCTCTCTGTGGCTCCATTTCCTTATCTGCAAAATGTGGATAATAATAACACAAGGTTGAGTATCCCTTATCCAAAAATGCTCAGGACCAAAGTGTTTTGGATTTCAGACTTCTTTAGATTTCAGAATATTTGCATATATAGAATTAGATATCTTGGGACTACTGTGTTTCCCTAAAAATAAGACAGGGCCTTATATTTATTCGTCCTCAAGAAGACACCCTAGGCTTATTTTCAGGGGATGTGTTATTTTTTTTTAAGTACAGTACAACCATCTACATGATTCAAATACAGTGAAGTCGTCTTCTTCTGAAACATCATCCTCACTCTCCAAACCCTGAATTCCATCTTGCATTTCTTGCGACTCTATTTCCTTTAGAACCATTGGCCCCGATCTCTCCTGTGGAGCACTAGAGCTGTCATGGGGCAGATGAGAAGGGCTGCTCGTGTTCTTTCCCGCTCCAAGACAACATGCATCGGTTGTGCATAGCCACGCCCATCACTAGGGCTTATTTTCATAGCCACGCCCATCACTAGGGCTTATTTTCATAGCCACGCCCATCACTAGGGCTTTATTTTCATAGCCACGCCCAGCACTGGGGCTTATTTCCATAGCCACGCCCACCACTGGGGCTTATTTTCATAGCCACGCCCATCACTAGGGCTTATTTTCATAGCCACGCCCATCACTAGGGCTTATTTTCGGGGTAGGGCTTGTATTGCACACATGCTTGGACATCCTGCTAGGGCTTACTTTATGGGTAGGTCTTATTTTCGAGGAAACACGGTAGGACCCAAGTCTAAACATAAAATTCATTTATGTTTCATATCCACCTTATACACATAGCCTGGTGGTAATTTCATATGATAATTTTGTGCAGGAAGCAAAGTTTGTGTTAAGTACTTATGTATGGAATTTTCTACTTCTGTTGGCACTCAGAAAGTTTCAGATTTTGCAGCATTTTGGAGTTTGGAATTAGGGAGGCTCAACACATGGTCTTTATTGGGTCAAAGAAATGATTGAATGGCACAAACCATATAAAGCATTTAACACCCTTCCCGATGTATCGTGAGTGCTGTAAGTCTTGACTGTCTCTGTTAAGTGTTCAATAAGTATTTATTATGATGCAGCCCCTTGCAGTGAGCAAATGTGACATTAGAACGAAAATAAATTTTCTGTTTGTTTACATGATGAAATGAACTTGATTTTATCAAGTCAGGGCAGGGGTGGGAAATAAACACCAGCTGCTTTTCACCGGAGAAAAACAACCAAGATTTGACCGGTTTGCTTGTTTTGGGGATTGTTGCTGTAGATATTGCACCAGTCTGGGAACTGGATACCAGAGCAGCCCTTCTTTTTTTTATTTTTAATTTTTTATTTTTTTCGAGACAGAGTCTCACTCTGTTGCCCAGGCTAGAGTGAGTGCCGTGGCGTCAGCCTCGCTCACAGCAACCTCCAACTCCTGGCCTCAAGTGATCCTCCTGCCTCAGCCTCCTGAGTATTGGGATACAGGCATGCCCATGCCCGGCTAATTTCTGTATTATTTTAGCTGTCCAATTAACTTCTTTCTATTTTTGGTAGAGACAGGGTTTCTATCTTGCTCAGGCTGGTCTCCAACTCCTGAGCTCAAACGATCCTCCAGCCTCGGCCTCCCAGAGTGGTAGGATTACAGGCGTGAGCCACCGCGCCCGGCCCAGTCCTTCTTTACAGGAAATAGACTCTTAAATATTAAGAGTCTTAAGTTTTAGGAACTATTACTCAGTTCAACCAAGGCAGATCTGGTTTTACTATCGCTATTGGCAAATACCAAGGGGACCTTCATTTTTTTTTTTTTTAAAGAAAAATAAAAGGAAACACAAGAGGAATGAATGGGATAGACTCCACGGGCTTTTATCCCAGCTTTTCCTCTCTTGTGAAGCAAGTGTGCACGCTTCTGTCTGACTCACCAATTTCTGTATTTAAGACGAGCTAGTGAGGCCAGTGCTGCCCCAGCTCCCAGTTAATCCGATGTATCAGTTCTGTGATTGGAGACAGTCATCCGAGAGGAGAAGGAGAGAGAGAGGAGAGGGAAGGAAGGAGAGGAGAGGAGATGACCTGTCACCCGATGGCTGATGGCTGAGCTGAGAATGGCATGTGGGTCCTACAGCTGAGGTTTCCGGATTGAGGAAATCCTTCCTGTCTTATTTTTTCTTTCTTTCTTTCTTCCTTTCTTTCTTCTTTCTTTCTTCTTTCTTTCTTTCTCTTCTTTCTCTTTCTTTCTTTCTTTCTTCTTTCTTTCTTTCTTTCCTTTTTCCCTCCTTTTTCCCTTCTCCCTTTCCTTCCCGTCCTTCCTTCCCTTCCCTTCCCTTCCCTTGCCCTGTCTCCTCCCTTCCTTCCCTTCTTTCCCTTCCCTTCCTTCCTTCCTCCCTTCCCTCTCCTTCCCTTCCTCCCTTTCCTTCCCTTCTTCCCTTCTTCCTTCCCCTCCCTCTCCCTTGCCTTCCCCTTCCTTCCTTCCTTCCCTTCCTCTCCCTTCCTTCCCTTCCCTTCCCTTCCTTCCTTCGCCTTCCCTTCCTTCCCTTCCCTCCCTTCCTTCGCCTTCCCTTCCCCCCTTCCTTCCTTCCCTTCCCTTCCTTTCCCTTTCCTTCCCTTCCTCCTTCCCTTCCCTTCCCTCCCTTCCTCCCTTCCTTCCTCTCTCCTTCCTTCCTTCCCTTCCCTTCCCTTCCTCCGGATTGAGGAAATCCTTCCTGTCTTATTTTTTCTTTCTTTCTTTCTTTCTTTCTTTCTTTCTTCTTCTTTCTTCTTTCTTTCTTTCTTTCTTCCTTCCTTCTTCTTCCTTCTTCCTTCCTCTTCTTCCCTTCCTTCTTCCTTCCTTCCTCCTCTTCCTCCTTCTTCTCTTCTTCTCCTCTCCTTCCTTTCTTTCCTTTCTTCTTTCTTTTCTTTCTTTCTTCTCCCATCCTCTGCCTGAGCCAAGAATGGCAAGTATGTGCTAAGGCTGCCACCAAGGGAGTCCCTCCCAGGCCCAAGGGACGTCGGCAGCCCTTCCACGGGCACGCCTGGTTAATTTCAGCATCCTTTTGCGCCTGACTTTCCAGGGAGCCAGCACCACATCCATGAGCCTCTGCACAGAGCAAGAGCTGTTTGTCATTAGCAGTTGAATGGGCATACCTGCCCTTGGTTTCCCTGCTCGCCACATTCTTTCACGGGCCTCACTCGCGCGCGACTTTGCATGCCTTCATGATGACATGCCTACGCAGGTATGCCATGTGTCAACCTGACCCACAAAGGGAGCATGCCAAGGCCCACAGAGTGAGCCTCTTATTAGAAAGCTTTTGCCTTCCATTTTTGACACCCGACTTGACCCTTTATATTCACAACGTTATTGTGTAACCTGCCAAATTCCTGACTCTATAAATTGCCCATCAGCCGCGTTAGGAATGCCAACTACTGTATTCTAGCACCAGCTACATGTAGCACATTCAGAGCCTCTGCAATTCCAAAAAGTGCACTTAAATAAATGGCCCTACTCATATTTTTTTTCTACATTAAAGGCACGCTGTATTAAATTGGGAGAGAGTTGTATTTTAACCTGTAGTCCATCTCGAATTATCTTAAATTTTTTTTTCACTTACCAGGATTCAGGCTCTTATGCAGTAGCCAGTTATTTTTTTTTTTTTTTTTTGCTAGACACATGCATTCTTGAAGCAATTGTAATTGTAACAGCACGATCGCTCGGTGTTTGTTGACATTCTCAGGTGTTTGTTGACATTCTCATCGTCCTTTCGTTGGCTTTAGGTTCAACATGCCCCATGATGACAACAATAAATGTAAAGAGGAAGGAGTGAAGAGCCCCCAGCATGTCATGGCTCCGACATGAGATATATAATGTAAGACCCTGTCATTTTTGGGAAACACGTATTATCTGCTACAGTATGCTCACATTTCAGGGCAATATATTGTTTTTTTTTGCTATCCCAAGAGACTGTAAGCTTCTTAGAGACAAAGATATGTCTTTTTCGTCCAGCATTTGGCACTCCATGCAACAGGTGTTAAGTAACTGTCTGCTGAGGGACGAACCAGTGAATCAGTGACTCGAAGAAGAAAACACCCTTGCACCATCTGGTTAAAAAGGAAAAATCAACCCTCGGGTTCTTCCCAGTTTCTGCAAAATCTCCCTGGAATTTCACACCCGGTGAGTTCTGATTCACAAAGCTCCTCTTCCTGTGGTTGCAGATATACACCCCGGGGCTTTGGGATAATCACTTACCTCCATACTTCTGGGAGAGAAGTGCAACACATTTGTGACACAGGGCTGTTGCTAATGTCATCGGATCTCTGACAGCCAGAAGGAAGCTCAAAAAAACAGAACAAGAAATAAAGGAAAAGAAGAAAGAGAACGGGGCGTGGGGAGGGAGAGAGAGAGGGGACGTCCTCAATTCGGCAATGTCCACCACTCCACGATCTGTTTTGGAATCATCTCGCCACCCCACCCTTTTCCAACCCAAAATTACTAAGTTAGGAAACACAGGAAACACTTGTGGCCTTCATCATGGAATCGCATCCACGCCGCCTCCCTCTCCCCCAAAGACCCGAACAAAGTTCAAAGCTTTATCCAAAACGAAGCAACCCTTTGCATTCCCTTTGAGATCCCAACTCTGCTTTAGCTCAGTCTGCAATCTAGAATCCTGGCAGGGATAGGAACTCAACAGATGTCCGCGAGTTATTTTTTTCCCCTCTCCTCCTCCTCCTCCTCCTCCAAGGATGTCACAAAAATACAACTCAAGAGAATGCTTGACTCTCTATTTCTTTCCACAATTAGCTCGCTCCATGGAGGCCAGATAGGAGAAAGAAAGTTCAAGTCTTACTCTAGAAACTCATGATATATTTTCGACTACACTTGGACCACATCCAGGGTTGTGTAGAAGTTCA